GAGGGAGTATGTTGTAAAAGTGAAAAAGAATAAATAGGAGAAAAGTGGAGAAAAAAGCTTTTGAAAGTGTGAATCCACAAGAGGAAAAAATGGAGAGTTTTTTTTACCAAAAGATGAGGATTCTTCGAAAGGTCAAGACACTTACTGTCCCAAAGTAGATGGATTTTTTCGGCTCTTATGAATCTAAGAAAAAACCCCACCTTACTAGGTCAATGCGCACAAAAACCGTTGTACTAGAAATCTACGACCCGATCATGTATAGGGGAAGTTGGTTAGATTAACCTATTTTCGGAGTTTCAAGGGCAAGTAGCGTAAACTTTACTCAAACAAATTGTTGGAGAAAACTGGTAAGGTGAGGTCACCTCGAAATTTTCTGAAATTTGGAAAAGTTTTCGTAAAATCTGACCAAGTTCTGCAAACAGTGCTCTCTCTCACTCTCTCGTATAATCTATGTCATACGGTCAGAAACCAGTTTCCTCACATCGTATAACTGGTTATGGGGATACTGTAGCTTCGATGCAAAGCTAGTTCTAGTAGTACGGTAGAATAGCCAGCGGATAGTAATAGTAGTAATAGTTGCAGTAAAAAGCGTACTGTACTCGATAAAGGTGTGGAAAAGGAGAACAACTGGACACGACGAGGTCAACCTTTCCATATATCGACACGGCGCCTGTAATAGATAAGAATGTAGGTAATATCATCGCAACAACTTGAAACATTCGCACGGAGTATAGGTAACCGATAGAATGGATAGGCAATAAGATAGGAAGTACAGTTCAGGAAACGGAAAATGAACATCAGATGACACCTGAAGACGAGCTAAAGTTTAGCTATATTAAATGGTAGGATTAGATCCAATTGAGGTGCAAACTCCAGATTTTCATATTTCAGGCTCAATTTCTATGTCTGTGATTATATAGTCACCTAAACATCATTCGATATCAGACAAGACCATGAAACTGAAAAAGGGATGAATTTGCGGATGCTTGAATTCAAAGTGGATGGCGGAAAAAGTGGAGACCATCAAACTAGTATTCAGTAGTCGATGACACATAATTAATGAAAGCAAATACAACAAAATGGAGAAAGTAAAATCCTCGGGAGTTTCATGATTCTGAACTTTCTGCAAAAAAGATTAGCTTAGCAGAGAGATTTCATAATAAAATCATAACATAGATGAACGAAGAAGATTCTAAAATTCCAACAATTCTCACGATAAAGAAAAAATAGCTCTAGTCTTCTCCAAAAGATGATACATGAAAGAAGGCTTACTGGCTGCGTTTTTTGCAATTTATGAAATTCATTAGACCAAGGATGACTTTGGTAAACTTAAACAAAAAATTAAAGAAAGAAAACAAGGTTTGCTATTTGCACACTGTGGTTATTTGGTGCAAAAAGTGAATATGCAGTTCACAGCGATTTTTCACATTCAAATTTGCAAACAAAAAATGGGAGTAAACTCCAAAAGTTACACCATCCAGAAAGCAAATCTTAGAAAAGTCGTGAGCAAATCCACTGTATTTGAAGCTACACAATGAAAACTCCATTGCTCTAACTGAACAAAAGCGAAATCTTGTAGACAATCGTCACAAGAGCACTTTTTCAACGGATTCACGAGAAAATCTACACACAACAGTGTCCGTCCTCTCAAGTGATCAACTTCAAATCAAACACGCAAAAGAATGCGAATCGCACACTAAAATAGGAAACATCTCTAGGGGGCAGCAAGAAGAAGTGGACGTGTTGTCGGATTGAAAATGCAACAAAAGCGCAAGAGAGAGTGTGTTTGGGAAAATTGGAGAGAATCGTTCTTATGCTTAGTGGTGATGATAATGATGATGGTGTTGATTGGTGTTGATTGGTGTTGAATGGTGTTGATTGGTGTTGAATGGTGTTGAATGGTGTTAGTGGTTGAATGGTGTTGAATGGTGGGGATGGTGGGGATGGTGTTGAATGGTGCTGAATGGTGTTGAATGGTGTTGAATGATGTTGAATGGTGTTGAATGGTGTTGAACGGTGTGGAATGGTGATGATAGTGGTGATGGTGTTAGATAGTGATGCTGGGGTTGATGGTGATGATGGTGATGCTGATGGTGAAAGACACAAAAACGAGGTCGAGTTTCGTTTGTTGCGTTTTGTCTCTCCCGAGTGTGTGTATGTATGAGGGTGCGAGTAAATGTAAACTCTCGCTCGCGT